AGGTGAGGAGGCTCGGACGGATGGGGGTGGGGGAACAGAAAGGAAGCGAAGAGGCTTGCTCGGACGGATGTGGGGGAGTGGCGTTGAGGGGTTGACTTCATGCTGAAAGGTGAGCTGGGCTCTGCTGAGGTGGGAGGAAAGAGGTGACACAACTTCCAGATCGGTCTCTGCTGCGCTTTGCATGGGCTTTGGAAATAGGCGGGGTAGTGGGGAAACGGGGTGGAGGCTGGAGTAGGGAAGGGTAGGTATCAGGCAGCATGTTTCGATGGGGGAGGGAGCTGGCAGATACTTAGTGGATGAGTTGGGAGCCTTAGGGCTGAAGGGCTTGGCTTAGGAAGGGTATGGGGGCCCCTGAATCTGCTACCAGTACAGTACAGTGTGGTGTCGTGGGAGAGGTGTGGAAACTTGAATTAGATTAGGCTTATTAAGACTTTGCAGGTCCTTGACCTTGATAAAGACCCTGGTCCTGGGGATTCTTGCCGCCTCCTAATGTTGAAAGCAGCGCTGACCTGCAGTGTGGAACATGGTGGATGGTATTTCAGGAATGCTTTACCTGGAAAGCTAGGTTGTCTTACAGGTGGAAACCGTAGGCTAAAAAGCAGATAATGAGTTCCTCAGTATTGGAGGGGTGGGGAGTTGCTTTTCTCCTGTTACTACTTGTTTTCAGCTGGTTCTTGTAAGTACTGCCCAGGTGACTCTTGCCTCCTATTTCCTTTTCTTTGAAAGTTAAAGAGACAGCTCTTGGTGTAGAGATCTATAATTTATAGAACAAATATGTCAAAAGAAACCAAAAGGAAAAATGCTGGATTGGTGTAGAGGTTGAAGTTTTAACACCCGCAATCCAGGTTGATACAAAGTATTGTGTGTGTTTTGGGTCCAGTAGAATACACTTTAAATTAGCCTTATGCATGTATGATAATGTTTCCTTAAGCTGAACATTATATACTCCACCTTGAGTTGTACAAAAATAAAAGTGGGATATAAATCTAATAACGTAAAGCTGTCCCATTATTGTCAGGGTCCATAAATTGCACTAAGCCATAATGTGCTTTGTTAGGTTGTTAGTGAGCCCAGCCAATTATAACTAGTTTAACAAACCATGTCATAGTCATATGGACTTGGCTGCTGAGTTAGATTACCTTTCTTTAAAGACCCAGACTTGGACCACATTTAGACCTTTTCGTGAAACTTTTCTTAAAGAAGCTTGACACAGTGAATGCCTCTGCCAATAAAGTTTATGGGAAGCTGAACCCCCTTTGCAATCTTTGTCAGTATGAACTGATAAAGTTTCCCACTTAAAGAGATTGGTCTGTTGAGTATCTTCTCAGCAAATGGGACAGTTAGCACCAACTCTACCTGACTCCCCTCCTTTCCAGGAGTCCCAGCACCCTGACAATCTATATTCTTCAAAACCATAAAAGATTAGCCAATGGCACACCTGAAAAATTAACTGCATTGTAAGCTGAAAAAGTCTTCTGATCTTTTTTTCCACCAAAGTGGACTGATTTAGTGGAAACTAGAACCCTTTGAAACAGTCCAGTTTATTGTTACATCAACCACAAAGACATTTATTTATTACTGGTCTTTTAGCAGGTTTTCATTTCCACATTCAAACAATGGCACATTATCTTATGTATGGGTTTAATTCCCTTGTCTCCACTTCTGCTTCTTTTGCAGTCTTTTTCATGATGAAACTGGTATATTTTGAGTTCTTACTTAAAACTGCCTTTGTATATTTATTAAGACCCTAAATAGTTGCCTATTCAACACATTTATGCATGTTCAGTTCTTGCAGTTTCCTGTGTGATTAAACACTGGGAAATTATGCTGTATTTTTGTTCAGTTTTATGTATTATATGCAGATATTTGGATAATAAACCATGTTTTTATATGTGGAGCAATGGTTGTTGAATGCAATGCTTAAAAATGAGGCCAGCCCACAGGGAATGGTAAACTTAAATGACAGTGTTTGGTGTGTTATGTAAGCTGGACTCTACTGCCCACACCATTTTGATCATTGGCAGCTGAATATAATGATTCTCAAAGTACGTAATTTATAGTTGGTCTGCTCATGGTTTTCCTTGGCAACATCTTATGCTATTAGATTCTTCCCTGGATCCCCAGAGCACACAATTAAAATAATGGGACTTAATATCTGGATAAATATATTTAGAGTATGCGGATTGGACTTTTAGACAAATCAGTTGTAATTCCCTTTGACAAGACACAGGATAAATGTTACTTTTTATACGTTTTCTAGTATAGAGAAGCTTCTTATCTTATTCCGTTATGGGCATTAATACAAGTAATATAATACCAGTGGAAGCTGCATGCCATTTCTGATTCAGTAGCACCTGTGGAACATTTGATCACAGAACAGTCTTTCATATAGTGCGAAAGACTTGGCCATGTAAAGATTTTTATCAGGAATTAATAATGAAATAGCATTGTTGATATATAAGAAACCTTAAGCCTTTCGAGCCTTTGTTTTGTGTATGTATATAAATATTGCAAGATGATCTATTTGAAGACTTTTTTTATAAATCCCCAGTGATTATTGATCATTGTGATATGTTTTTATTCTGATTTTCAAAAGGAAATGGCATGCTGCTCCAAGTTGGCTTTGATTGGAGTGGCCATTAAGCCCTATAAATAATATAAAAGAAAAAAAATACTATTTGCCTTTGCTTGACACTAGCAAAGCTTTGATGTGAAATTTGCTGTTTTAGCTCTTTAGTTGGGATTAGCTAATAAATTAGCTATCTAGCACACATAACAATATATAATTATAGTCCAGAAGAGGATGAAAATTGTAGTTTTCAGAATATAATTAAACTGCTTTGCAGTGGATGATATATGGCATAATTTACCTAATATCAAAGATTTACTCTAGAATCTTGATATGGTTTGAACCTAAATCTTTTTAGCCCTTGTTCAGTCATAGCTTCAGTAGAGAGTCTTGTGTGTATTATATTCCTTGTTCTCTTGCTATAAAATACTGTAGATGCAGTTGTAGTTCTGATGTTTTGGAGATTGTGGGCCCTTAGAAAGATAATTGGTGACCAATTATTTTTGTCAATCTGGTACTAAAATGCTTAATGTTTGTACCTCAAGATCTAAAAGAAAATGAAATATAGTAAATTATAGCCAGGTGAATGTTTGGTCCTAAAAAAGTATTACCCAATTATATATTACTTTTTTCAAGCTACCATAGCTAACTTTTTTTCAATGCTGGGTTGTTGTCTTAGCAATTTGAACTCAATAAATATCATGCTTAGCCCTAATATGGTATGTTTGATTTTTGCTTAGCATGTTGTGTAAACATTATCATTATGCTTGGTAAACCATGATTTTTGGTTAGCAAGTTGGATAAATGTGGTCCTTATAGGTAGTCCCCAGTTTAAGAATGAGTTCTGTTTCCAAGGTCCTTAAGTCAAATTTGTGTGTAAGCTGGAACAGTATTATTGTATAATACTATATAAGTAGTATTGTGTAATTAACTTGAGCTGTTGTGTATTTAACTCAAATCATTGTGTATTTAACTCCAGTTTTGCTACAATAGGCTCTGTTCTTAACTATGGGTTGTCCATAAACCGGGCATTCTTAACCTGGGGACTACCTGTAATTCAAATAAATTGTGATGAAAAAAAACCCAGATCTTAGTGATGTGTGAACCCAGGCTATATATTTCCAACAGTGATCTGATTAAAGCGTCAATGCTTCTGTTTATTTAGAATTTTATAAATGTTAACATGTCTTAGGCAATATTTTTTCTTTGTTAATTGCATATTAATAATATTAATCTCAATTTCATCTATAATGGTGTTTCTCAACCTTAACAACTTTAAGATGCATGGGCTTCAACTCCCAGAATTCCCTAACCAGCTTGCTAGCTGGGGAATTCTGGGGGTTGGTCCATGCATCTTAAAGTTGCTGAGCCTGAGAAACACTGATCTATAAGATACTGACTATGGATCTGTACATTTGGCAAGAAAGCTAACTTTGCAAATACGGTTGACATACCATATTTTGTGTTTCATAATGTCCTGTGTGCATGTGCATATACCAATTCTACATTTTAAGGTGTCCTGAATTAGTGCAACACTTAATATTTTACTTCTGGTGTCATACTGAATCTTGGGCTTTAGTATGTTTTCAGCCTTATTATGTTGATCATTCTGATTTTTGACTACCAGTCAGCTGGTTCTGCTTTTTTTTGTCTGGACTTAACTATTTGCTGTATAATTTCTGTTCGGTTACTTTAGAAATTTTAAGGGAATTAAGTCTCTATTTTAATAGGCTATATAAATACCATGTAAAAACATATTTTGGGGTTTGTTAGTCCTAAGGAATTGGGTTCTCAAATCACAATTTCACTGTAAAGCTTCATATGTTAAATTAATATTCTGTGCATATTTGGATGACTATGCATTTCAGTGTTTTGTAGTTATATGAATAATTTGAATTCAGGCTAATAGTTTGTGAAACTTAGGTGATTCTTTCTTCTTTTTTTTTTTTAAGTGTGATCCAGAAAAACTGGTTTATGCATATATTACAGAGATACTTCCTGGTATGTATTGTGGCAGGGGGTGTGCATGTGTGAATCTTTGGTCTTTCAAAATCCTAATCTGCTTACTCAGAAGTAAATTTCAAAAATTTGCTACTATTTATTTCCTAGTAATTTGTCTTGATTC